GCATAGTTAGGAAGCTGGCTGGTCTCCATCCCTCCACCCTGCCTCCTCCCAGCGGTGCCAGGATCTCAATCCAAAGTGGTCTCCTACCTCCTCCTGGGCTGCCTCATCCGCGGGCAACATGGAGGCATTTCCCAAACTGGTTCCCTGCTAGGCAGAGGGCAGGGTGGGTGACAGTGACGCTGGGCTGCTGCCTGTCCCCGCTCCCCGGGAGGTGGAAGTCATTTGATGGTCCCAACATCCACATGCCTGCCTGGACCCATATGGAGATGGCACAGATCCTTCAATGTGTGGGACATCTCCTCCTCCAGCTGCCAATCACATCGAGCCCCTTGCATAACCACCGGCTGGGATATGGCATCCTTCCCCTCCACCCAGAAAAGCACTCCACGACCACCACTCACCCAATCCTTAGGGGCACCTTTTTGATGGACAAGAAGCAAAGTAATCCAACAGCAGCGAGAAATAAATCTGTAATTAAGGCAAGCTGCTCACATGAGCGATACTTGAAAATTATGCAGACCTGTGAGCAATGTTGCCATTGGGTGTGCGGCTCCTCTCAGGCTTCCAGTAAGGAATAAAAAAGCTCTGACTAATACAAAGAGGCCTCCAAATCATTCTTGGCAGAAGCATCCCAGCCCCGGATCCCCTCCCTCTATTCATCGCTAAAGCTCTCAACCAAAGGAAAATAAACCGTGCAGCTACCTCACTGACCTGACCTGCAGCGCGGTGTAGCTGGGTGCCAGCTGCCCCTTCTGCACCATTATACACTGATATAATAGTGTATAATTTACATACATTATGCGTTATATATATTTATATGCTGTCTGTACATTTATAATATATATATATTATATTTATACATAAATATGTACACTATACGTGGGGCTGCACGGGCAGCCCCTGGCAGGTGGGACCTGGAGCGATGCTGCCTTCCCATCCCCGTCCTGCCGGGAGGGCAGGGGCACGGGCATGGGCAGGGGCAGGGACGAGCCCTCTCATCGCTGCCTGCTATCCCAGGATCATCCACACACACTCGATAATATCACGTTTCGATGCAGTCTGAGATCCTTCACCTTTTCTAATTACTTGCAAGTTTATAAAACCATTCCACCGGTGACACTTTATGGGAATAAGACCAGGACTACGAACTGGGGAGGGTATAGGAATATTGTGAGTGCAGCTTTGCATGTTCCCGTAGCCAAGACCAGCCAGTCTGTGGCATGGGGTAATTCAGCCTCTTGCTAGAAACTGCTCCTTGTCTGCAGAGCATGGGGATACTAGCAAGAAAATCTCACACAGCTCACCCTTTCACCCTTTGCCAATGTCCACAATTACCTTTTAAAGCTGAAAAACTATCAGCTCTTATCATGAGCACAGAGACCTTAAACCAGATGGGTTGTTTCCCCATCCTCCTTCCCTGTTTTGACTGACCTGGTGGTATTCCAGCAATGGGGGTGTGCATCGAGGTTGTGGGCTCACATCTCTTCCTTCCACTTACTTTGTCACCTTTAAAATAAGGCCAACACTTGGAAGCACTTAGGCAAGGCTTAACTTTATTGCCTGGAGAGAGGTGTTGAAGTTAACAGGGATATGCCCCATAGCAAACAAAAACACGTGCGGGTGTGTGGGATAGATGCCTTGGAGGAAACCTCATCAGGCTTTTTCTTTCCCATTTGCAAGCAGTTTCTGAGATTTGGGGGGGAAATATGTTGCTGGGCTTTATTTCTTACCAAAATTAACGAGCAAAAAAATCCTTTATTTTTACCGACAGGTTTTGGCAGTAAAATAGGGATATTTGAGGAAGAAAAGTTATTTTCCTTTGAAAAATGTGACTCTTGCGGCAAATCTTGTTGCAGAAAATACGTGTCTCTCAGAGAGCTGGATTCACTGAGGCTGATTATTAGGCTCCAACTAGCCAAAGTTTAAAACTGGCCTGAAAAACTCAGGTTTGAAAGGAAAAATTCACGAAATGCTTGTGCCAGTTTATTCTTAAAAAAAAAAAAAAAAAAAGCTGAAGAAAAGTGGCATCAAATTAATTTTGCCTAAGAAAATCTTTAAATTTCATGATCATTTATTCTTCTGATTGGACAGGTGTCCTTTAAGTACGCTTTCTTCTGGAAAGCTTTCAATTTGATATACCTGTAATTAGAGCTTTCCTGACCTGGGATATGAAATCATTGCAACCTTTTCTATTTATTTTTCTTTACTATATGTTTCCTGTTGTGCTTGTGAACTGAGGTGAGGTCTGGCACATCCCTTTCTTGTCTTCTTTGTCCTGTTATTCTTATTTCACACTGTGTTAGAAGTAGTTTAGCTGCTCTTCTTTTATAGTCTTGGAGACTCATTCATCCCTCTGTTAATGGCAGTCAACTGGCAACCAATTTCACATGGAAAATGGGAAATAATTTCCCAGTTTCCATAGGAACCTGTTGGTCTACAGTGGTTTTGAACTCAAAGTAATTGCTGAGATATTTCATTTGTCACTGTCCCGCCCCCCAAGTTTTCTGTGACAAAATGTTGGATTTGGCTCGCCGGAATCTGGGGACATTTTTGATCATCATGTAGGTTGGAAAAGGCCCTCAAGACTGTGTCCAACCATTAAACACCACTGCCAAATCCACCTCTATACCACATCCCCAGGCGTCACATCTACATGTCTTTTAAATACCTCCAGGGCTGTTGACTCCACCACTGCCCTGGGCATCCTCTTCTGAGGCTTGACAAACCTCTCGGTGAAGAAATTTTTCCTAATATCCAATCTAAACCTCCCCTGGAGCAACTTGAGGCCATTCCCTCGGGGCCTGGCGCTGGCTCCTTGGCTCCAGAGACTCATCCCCCCTCTCTGCCCCCTCCTGGCAGGGAGTTGCTGAGGGCCAGGAGGTCTCCCCTCAGCCTCCTCTTCTCCAGACTGAACCCCCCCAGTTCCCCCAGCCGCTCCCCAGCAGACCTGTGCTCCAGACCCTGCCCCAGCTCCGTTGCCCTTCTCTGGACACGCTCCAGCACCTCAGTGGTGTTGGGGACGTTACCATAAAACCATCTTGGGAAACAACCCCCTGAACAATGCATTTCGTTAGCACGGGATGGAAGTAATTGTTTTTTCAACGGGTTGGCTTTGGTGGATTGGTGGGAGCAAGCCATTTTGATGGGGGAAAAAAAAGGCAGTTTTTGTGGGAAATTAAGAGTCACTTGGTTTTGTTGCTTGGGGTGCGGGTGGGCGGTTGAATGGGTGCTCCCATCCCACAGGGAATGCAGGCTGTGGGAGTACCAGGAAGAGCAGTGGGTGGCAATTGGTGTTCCTCTCCACACTGGCTTGGCAGTCACTGGATGCTGCCCAAGTTTTGCTTTACCCTTATCTGAGGCCAGACATATTGTTCGCACCGACTTCATTTACTGATTTACCCAGACACTCCTTAGAAACCCTGTAGTGAGAGGAATTGCAGATAGTGGTTTGGGTGTGGGGATGGAAGCAGTATTTTTTTTTTTTAATTTTTTTCTAATTTTTTTTTGCTACAGACCAAGAAACTGTGTAATAAAAGTTTCAAAAGTAACCGTGCTCTGAGCACAGAGCTCTTCCAAGCCGTATCTGGGAGTGCCAGGTTGCCCCAGGCTATCTTACACTTGATTTTGCCTATTGCTTCAGAAAGATTTCCCTTGTAGAAACAATTTTGGTTGTGATTTTGGGTTTTGTTAATGTGCTTCTTTAAAGGAAAACCAGCAGAAAGGCAGGTGACATGGAACTCGGTGTCCAGCTGCTCTCACTGGATTTATGGCATTATCAAAAAAATCTGTATTTCTTCGTTGTCGTAATACCTGTGCCAGAAAGGAACTAGTATGATATTAAATGCAGTTCTTTAAGTTAATGCTCTGAGATGTGCCTGCTTAATTTGGGGCAGGATCTCAAGAATGAGCTGATCCCTGGTGCACCCAAAAAGGAGAAGAGGAGGGACCTGTTATTTATCACTCAACATGATGGCCAACCCTTTGGGGTTGCACACATGCTGACAAGCCAGGCTTAGCCAGGTTAGGCTGTTCGTGGCGGGGGAGGCAGCATGCTCTGCTGAGCTGGACTCCGGCGGGGTGACTCCTCTCACAGGAACGTCCTCTTGAGCGGGGGCTCCAGGAGGTGGGTGTGGAACAGGGTCATTGGTCGCATGGGTGAAGCTGAGGTGGCCAGGAGGCGTCTTCCAAATGTGGGTGGTGGGGGTGCTTTGAAGCCCTATGCTGGGCACTTGGGAAGGATTTTCAAAGTCACTTGTTCCTTGAATTAGGAACAAGCCCACCTGATTTGGGCTCTCATCACCTGCACAACACGGCAACCGGGGGCTTGGGTAAGCAACTCCCCTCCTTGAAGATGCTTTGCCTTCATCTTCTTGCTTGCTTGGGTCATTCATGCACAAACCTGATTTTTTAGTTAAATTATATCCAGTTCTCTTCAAAAGAGAAGGTTTTCATCCCCGCCACCCCCCCACCCGCTCCCAGATTTACCTTGTCTCGGCTGAATGGGTGCATGGTTTGCAGGAGAAGCAGAGCAGATGGGTAGGAAATTCACCCACAGCATCACCACTGCGGGGACAAAACAGCATGTGGTCAGGGGTCAGTTACACCAGGGAAAGGCTTGACCCACCGGGTGGAAAACAAAAAGAATGGGATAAATCGGCTTTAAGAAAAATGAGATTTAAAAAAAAAAAAAAAAACAAAACACAAAAAAAACCCAGCAAACCAACAAACAAACACAACAAAACCCCAAGTTTTTTCTTTCCAAATAAATTTGTGTGCTTGTTTAAAAAGGAAGCACGGCAAAAATCCTAGTAAAATCAGCCGATGCCCCGCGTGTTGCTTAGACCTTGATAGTACAGGTGGACAAGGAGGGCTCCGTGCCAAATACTTTTGGTTTAGAGGGAGTGGTGGGAGTGAATTCTCCTAACCGCTCCTAGAAAGGCTTAACTTTCCGCACACAAATCAATGACAATCTCCACTTGGCTGCAGACACCCAGGGAGCGACGCTGCCGGTTTCCCCTTGCAGCCAAGGCAGGAGAGAGGAGGACGAGGGTCGGCACCCGGAGCGGGAAGGTGGGTTGAATGCTGTATTTTCGGCTTCTGAAATATGTGATTTTGAAAATCTTTTTTTTTTTTTTCTTTTTTCCCTTTTAAGGCTTTGGTGGTTTATTGAGGGGAGGGGAAGTCTCTTGAATTTCATGCTTGGAGGCTAATCGTGTTCGTGTTAGAAATCTTCAGCGCGTTGTAGCGATCCTCTGTACTAATCTATCGCCATTTACATGTGATTTAATTGCTGTTTGAACTCGAACCTGTGATTCTCTTTCTTATTTCCCTGCATGGTATCTTGAATCTTTACCAAGCCAGGAGATTTTGGCTCTGTATCAACACCTGTACGATACAAACTCTCAATTTACAGGGTGGGATTTTTGTTGGGGTTTTTTTTTTTTTTTGGTAAGTCCGGCTTAGTTATTTGTTTGTTTGTTTTAGACAGGAAATATCAGTGTGAAAATACAGCTGCTAACATCTCCTTCTGGGTAGGCAGAAGGGCTCTGATGAGGCAAATGATTAATATTTATAATATAATAAATATAATAGAATATATATTCTATTTCATATACTATTTTACTCTAGCATATATTTTTAATACTTACTTATTACTATTTGTTTTAAAGTCATTTTTGCTTTGGTTGTTCTTTGCAGAAAACTTGTGGGAAAAAAAACCCGTTCTCCTCTTAAATAGTTAAAACATCTCAGCAGATTTAATGCTGGCAGGGAAATCACGATTAAAGACAGGCTGGGAAGTGTGCTTGGGATGAGGCTGCTGCTCAGTTCAGGGTTAAGCCCTGCTCAAGCTGACCTGCTCCACGCTGCCTGTGCCGCAAGTGGGGATTTGTGTGGAGAAACTGGAAGCGACTTATCTGGAGACCCCCTACCTGGAGTTTCAGTTTAAATCTCAGTCTATCTCGGGAACTTTTTGCTTCTTTGCTAGCAAACGGGACACAGCAGGATGGTATGTTATACCCAGTTAAGCTTTAATATTTTTAACAGCTCCTTCTTGAGGTCAAATGCTGTTTCAGCAGCACAAGCCCCCTCTCCAGCTCCCCTGGCCCCGTGTAGGTAATTCCCAGCGCTGCGCTGCCGATAAAAACAACAGCCGTGGTTTCGTTTAAGGTTGGGCTGAATTAAAACAGGAGGGGAGGAATGTGCTCAGCAGAGGAGAACCCGGCGCTTGGCCATCCCGGCGTTGCTTTCTGGAGCGCGCTGGGTGGATGGAAACACTTGGCGTGGTCAAGCAGCGACCTGCAGCTGGTTCTGCTATCGAAAAGGGGATGTGGCAGGCACCTTCCAGTTCACCCAGGTGCAGTATTTGGGGGAATGAGCCCGAGGGGTACCTTCTCCTCCTTTCTGCTTGATGGAAGTGGAATCGGATGGAGGTTTATCCTCCTGGGAGGATTTGGAGATTGGGAGCAGCAAAGGCAGCCGGGTCTGTCTGAGCCCTGGTCGCAGGGAGCAGGTGCTGTGGGCACTGACAGCCCTTCGGCATCTCCAAGACCCCACACCAGAGAGCAAACCTTTTGCAGGCTTCTCGGCATGTATCCTGCTGTATCCACCCCGGGACAGCCCAGCACAGAACTCCTGGAAGGGCAGATGAGACACTCTGCCATCTTTCCCTGGTCTTCCTGTGCCTCGCATCACTCCCACCACGGCAAAAAGGTCACTTCAAACCTGTGCTCTGGAGCAGGCAGAATTTAACACTCACTTTACAGTTGTGCTTGACGCTGTTTACTTCAGGTGCCAGGCAATGAGGAGTCAGACCCAGCGTGTTTGAGCACTGAGCAAGCATTCACCGTACAAACCTGGGATTTTCCAGCGAGCCCGGGGCTGTCCGGCACCTAACTCCCTCAGCCTCCTTTGAAATTCCTCCTCTAATTAATAAATAAGTGGCAAGTTTCACTGACATAATTTCAGAGCTATTGCTCTTAATTAAATAGCAAGTTATTAAAATAGTTTCAAAACACTGAGGTCTACCCTCCCCAGTTCGTAGTCCTGGTCTTATTCCCATAAAGTGTCACCGGTGGAATGGTTTTATAAACTTGCAAGTAATTAGAAAAGGTGAAGGATCTCAGACTGCATCGAAACGTGATATTATCGAGTGTGTGTGGATGATCCTGGGATAGCAGGCAGCGATGAGAGGGCTCGTCCCTGCCCCTGCCCATGCCCGTGCCCCTGCCCTCCCGGCAGGACGGGGATGGGAAGGCAGCATCGCTCCAGGTCCCACCTGCCAGGGGCTGCCCGTGCAGCCCCACGTATAGTGTACATATTTATGTATAAATATAATATATATATATTATAAATGTACAGACAGCATATAAATATATATAACGCATAATGTATGTAAATTATACACTATTATATCAGTGTATAATGGTGCAGAAGGGGCAGCTGGCACCCAGCTACACCGCGCTGCAGGTCAGGTCAGTGAGGTAGCTGCACGGTTTATTTTCCTTTGGTTGAGAGCTTTAGCGATGAATAGAGGGAGGGGATCCGGGGCTGGGATGCTTCTGCCAAGAATGATTTGGAGGCCTCTTTGTATTAGTCAGAGCTTTTTTATTCCTTACTGGAAGCCTGAGAGGAGCCGCACACCCAATGGCAACATTGCTCACAGGTCTGCATAATTTTCAAGTATCGCTCATGTGAGCAGCTTGCCTTAATTACAGATTTATTTCTCGCTGCTGTTGGATTACTTTGCTTCTTGTCCATCAAAAAGGTGCCCCTAAGGATTGGGTGAGTGGTGGTCGTGGAGTGCTTTTCTGGGTGGAGGGGAAGGATGCCATATCCCAGCCGGTGGTTATGCAAGGGGCTCGATGTGATTGGCAGCTGGAGGAGGAGATGTCCCACACATTGAAGGATCTGTGCCATCTCCATATGGGTCCAGGCAGGCATGTGGATGTTGGGACCATCAAATGACTTCCACCTCCCGGGGAGCGGGGACAGGCAGCAGCCCAGCGTCACTGTCACCCACCCTGCCCTCTGCCTAGCAGGGAACCAGTTTGGGAAATGCCTCCATGTTGCCCGCGGATGAGGCAGCCCAGGAGGAGGTAGGAGACCACTTTGGATTGAGATCCTGGCACCGCTGGGAGGAGGCAGGGTGGAGGGATGGAGACCAGCCAGCTTCCTAACTATGCAAACAACCCACACCCATGTTCGGTGTTTATCCCCGCCAAGCCCGTCACCATGGTTTCTGGGCACCTTTTGCCAAGGTGAGCTGAAGCTGATGGAGCAGATCCTCTGCCAAACCCCAGGCTCTCTAGGCATGTGTCTGGGAGGTCTCCTACATCAGATGGATCTTCCAGAGTTACTGCTGCTGGGATAATCCCAACTGTTTTGCTGTTGCCTTTGGACTCCCCACTGCTGCCTGCCCAGCCCCTGGGCAGTTCCTGTCTGCCCTGAGCCCATGATCTCCTCAAGGCAGGTGCCTCCTCACCTCTGCCGTGGGGTCTTCTTACACTGTGTTGCACCACAGTGCCAGGCAGGTGACTGGAGAGGTGGCTTCACAGCCCTCTGTGCTGGGACTGCTGCCCCGATGCAAAATTTGGGCCCTTCTCCCCGATGTGACTGTGGCACTGGGCTGCTGAGGAGCGATCTGGAGGCTGGTGGTGCCTCCAGGAAGAGTCTGGGCATACCATTGCGTGATGACGGGTCATTGGTCTGTCATGTTCTCCTCACTGTTCTCCTGTGGTTTGGGGCAAGTTGTTCGATCTGCTACCAGCAAGATGGAAGTGAGAAGATTTGACAGCATCCTGGGAGGAGAGGAGAGGAGAGGAGAGGAGAGGAGAGGAGAGGAGAGGAGAGGAGAGGATAAAAGCAAGAGCATATTTTTTCTGCAATGTATTTAGTTGGAAAAAAAAAATTTTAAAAGAACATTTTTATTATCAATGTTGAGCAATTTTGAAATGGGAAATCTCCCCTCCTGCCCTACCAGCAAGTCATTGCCGTGGCCACTTGCTGATGGTGTGCGAGAGGAGTCACATCAGCTAATCCCTGTCTCCTGACTCCCGTGTCCCTTCCAGACCTTCTCCCCAGCCTTGCAGGGATGCAAACTTCTGGTGCAGCTGCCTTTCTTGCCCAGAAATAATCAGTCAGCGGGTGAAACTCGAGGCAACCTCGGATGTATTTGGCGGCTTCTTGTTTCCTAGCAGCTGCCCAACGATTGCATTACAGCTGCTTTTATAGTCTGCGCTGAGAGGCTGAACGCCAGCCGAAAGAGGACTCTGAAAGTCCACCTCAGCCGGGATTAATACCTCTGTGCCATGGCTAGACGCTGGAAATACTAGAAGGGGACAGATTGCAAAAGAAATGGGTCAGATTTGCTCTCCTTTATCATCAGGTCCAAGTCTCACCACCTTCTGTCTGTAGGGAAAGTGTTGCTTTAATGTTGGTTTTATGGATGAGCCAACCTTCTCCATGGGCAGGAGGCAGGTCCCAGTCCCTTTAAGGTGCTAGGTGGCTTTGGGAGCTGCAAGGGAACGTGAGAACATCTGAGCATCCCAAGGCATTTAAGCTTGGTTCATGTCCGGCAGCTTCTGCCGCCTTAGTCCTGTCTGAAGAGAAATTAAAGAGATTAGCTCCTCTGCACCTTAATTTCCCTGAACGTAAAATAAGTCAGTAGTCACCTTCCACGGGTCTTGGTCTGTTTGTGAGAGGACTTGGAGATGCTCTAGATATAGGGTGCTAAAATGAATGACAAGTGTTATATTGAAAGAGCATCAGAGATTTTAGGCTCGTGGCTGCAGAGGAGCAAGCAGGTTGCAATATTCCAGCCTTTCCACCGTGCACATGCACTTTCCAAACAGTTTTGTTGCAATTAATTACAGTGTAATTAAAGCAGAACGACAGTGCTAACTAAGGGCAAAATCTTGTGAAACAAATAGTGTTTGGGCTGATTTTGTAATTGCTCCAGGTTCCCCAGATAAAAATTACACTGTCAGGGCTCCTGATTTATGGCAGAGCGATATACGCACAGATAACTCAGGGCAGGAGCTGCTTGTGTGGGTTGCAGGTGCGGAGGTCCA